TGCATGGGAATCCTTTGGATGAGAACTCTTAGGGGCTTTAGAGTGGAAACTGCGTTCACAAGATTTGTCTTGTGTTTCACGCCTGGATTGGGAGAGAGTTATTTGGTGTCTGAGATCCTCAGATGAAAGCTTCTCTTTCCCTTCCAAGTTGGTTCGCGCCTTAGCAGCAATTTTGTTCCTCTTGGACCGATTTTTGCCCATGGTAAAAGTTGGAAACCTTCTCTTGATGAAAAAGGCGGACCAACGGGAGATAGCGGCCCCTGAGCAAGAAATCGGTCCTCCTGTATGACCGGCTGATAAATGCGGTCCTCTGTGGAAGATCGGTCCTCCTTTCACTCTCTCTCTTTTTTTTTTTGAACAGTGGACCGACTAAAAGGAGGAGTCCTTCTGGGTGGACCGCGAACTTATCTCCTTCACTTGGAATGGACCGCTAATTCTCCCCAGGTCTAGGAAGAGGTCTTTCCGAGTGAACAAGAGTGAGATAGGCTCGCTATCAACTCCCCAGAAGGTTAGGAAGCTTCAATCGGTCCCACGGTCGGCGCCAGTGATGGATACCCAATATTTTCCCAAGGACTGTAGATCGGCCCAGGTCCAAATATAGGTATCCGGGCCTTATAATATTGAAAGATAATACGAGAATAATAATTAATAGTAATAGAAGCACTGCTCACTGGATAATAACTCAAATCGGCGGTCCTCTCCTTTATTCGGTCCTCTTAGGAACGGAATATGCTTAAGGATCGCCGGAATATCTTTTATTATTTACTCAAGTATTTTCTCTCCTTATTACAAGATATCTCTTCTCCTCTAGTCTCTCTCTCTTTTATAGGCTCTTCCCTCCATTATCCCTTTCAATAATGGCAGTGGTCAGGGGGAATGTTCGTGCCAGCCTGCATCCTCTGGGAAGAATGTATCTCAGCTAGGAGCCGTCCACTGGAAGACAACAGCCTTTCCGTCCACCTCTCATTTCTGTCCTTCGTCCGTCCTTTTCTCCTCGTCCCTGTCTCTCCTGTTAAGGGGGGACGTACCCTAATCTCTACATAAGATTCTTCCTCTTGGGTGAGTTATTCCTAATGGGCTGGGCTTCCACCCATCCTTAGGCCTCCCCCAATCCTTTTCCTTTTCCTATTTTTCCTCACGGACACCTACATTCGACCGGCCAGGTATACTTTATCTGGGTCGAGCTCCTTTTGATGGACGGGACTCGAATTGGGCCTAGGCCCAATCCGTTAGTATTCTCTCGATGGGCTTGGTTCTCATCAAACGGATGCGGATGCGGACGGTAATCGAATTCTCGGTTATCCATTTATAGCCCTAATTATCTGTTTGGAAAAATACTTCGTTATGAAGGAGCATTTGGAGAACACACTTCACGTCTAGATGATAGAAAATACCAAAATACCTTCTATTTAACTGATATTTAATAGACATTTTCAACAGAAGACCATTTAGAGAATATATATCTAAATTATAAAGGATCACCCAAGTAATTAGTACTTCATATTTATTGAGGACTAATTTGAGAAAACACTCTATTAGAAAAAATCGTTTTGGGAATTCACTCCAAATTTAATATTTTAGTCTTATTTAGACTCATTTCTTTAAAAATATAGGAAATCTTATTTTGGTATAAATTTTATATTTTAGTCTAATTTAGGCACATTTCTTTAAATTCAGACTAAAAACATTTGAACGAGGTTAGTCCAGAAACATCTAAACCAGATAAGATAAAAAAGTGTTCATATCAATCCCCACTTGAAAAATTTAGATAAGATTTTTTCATGCAAAGTTGGATTTGGGTGCTAGTTTATTCACTAGGTTCTTTCCCTCTTATTAGAGTTATTACTAGTCCTACTTTAATTACTACTTTCATCCCTCAGTGTTCATATAATAGATCTAACAAACTATTTTTATCAATATCTAATATTATTTTTATTTAATTTGATGTCAATGTATATTAATTTTGACTGAAAAAGTCAAAAGTGGAGAAATACTCAGGGATGTTAAATATATTGTTAATATATTTAATATTGTAATTATTGTAGTTACCTTAAGAAAACTATTTAATTTCACAGCTCCCTCTCAAACCCTAATTCTCTCTCTCTCTCGGTCATCTCTCTCGGCAGTCTCTCTCTCGGCCGCCGCTCCCCTCCTCTCTCTCGGCCGTCCCTCCTCGCCGGCAACTATGGCCGGAGTATCCTCCGTCTCCTTCGTCTCCTTGATCTCTGCTTCAATCTTATGCGGTTTCTTGAATGGAGTCGACTCTTTCGTCTCCTTGTTCTCTGCTTCAATCTTATGGGGTTTCTTGACGGCACTAGCGTCGCTTCCTCCGCCGACGACATCGAATGGTATCAATTTGATGGCCTCCTTCAAGGGTGGATCCTATCCACGGTCTCAGATAAAGTCTCAGATCTCGTCCTCGCCAACAGCCCGTCTACCCATGCTTTATGGCAAGCGATCTACAAACTCTTTCATGATAACAAACATGCCCGGGCGATGCAGTTGGAGCACCGATTTCGCACAATGGTCAAAGGAAATCGGTCCATTAATGAATATTGTCATCTCCTCAAAAACCAGGCGGACTATCTTGACGACGTGGATGCCCCGGTGACTAAACACGCCCTTGTCTTACAGGTTCTTCAAGGCTTGCCCCATGACATCTGGGCTCAGGTGCACTTTTTGCAATATCAATACCCGTTCCCGACTTTCCAGGAGGTTCGATCAGCACTTCTCCTGGTGGAACAACAATAAGCCGACGCCTTTCCCAGCGCCGGCCCGTCGACCGCCCTCATCAGCACCGGCGGCGGCAGCAGCCACTCGGCCGGCAGTGGACAGCCGCGGCAGTCAGGCGGCGGCGGCATGCAGGGCTCATGACGGGGCTCCTACGGCAGTCAAAACCGGGGCGGCAACGGAGGATATCGTGGGCGCAGACGTGGACGTGGACGCGGCCCAAACTAACGGCAACCCATCGGCCCAAACCCTTGGCAGTTCCCCACCTCCTCACCCGGCCTGTTAGGCCCACGGCCCACTACCCCTTACCTAGCCCAAGCCCACATCCATCACTACCCAAACCCAATAACCCAACCCTACTACCCACCCGTACCACCCACCCCTGCCCAATACCCGCCCACATACCCGCTACCCCCCAGCCATAGGACCCGCAACCCACAGCCTCCTCCAACCCTTACCCATCCCCATACCCGAACCCCAACACACCCACCGCACTCACCCATGGCTTTGAAACCCTCACCCTAAACTCACACCCCACCTGGCTCATGGACACCGCCGCCTCTCACCACATCACTGCCGACCCAGGTACTTTATCTCATGTATTTTCATCAAACATTTATTCACCTTCTCATATCATTGTAGGTAATGGATCTAAAGTTAGCACAATGGGTTCTGGCAACGGTTTGCTCCAAACTAACCCCCCCCCCCCTCTCCCTTAACAATGTCTTAGTCTCACCCCATATTATCCATAACCTTATCTCTGTCCGTCAATTTACTCGTGATAACAACGGTTCAGTTGAATTTGACTCATCTAGTTTCTCTATGAAGGACAAACTGACGGGAGCCGTGATTCATCGATCCAGTAGT